AATATTTGAGTCTAGTGGGTGTTTGTTTGTAGGAAGTGAAATCAAGCTATTTTGATCTTCTATCTCTGATTTGGACTTTAGCAAATGCTTTTCTTACAAGAAAATTATCTATTTCATTCAGATTTTCTAATTTGTTTGCACAGACTTAAACAAAGTAGTCTTATGATTTTTACAATTCCCCTCTTTCCAAGGTGACTTCTCTTATTATGTGTTATTTGTCCATCCTGAATCATTTATTTATTCAGACTTTTTTGTAGAATAGTTTCCTCAAACAGGTCTCTGGGTGATATGTTCTCTGATCTTTGTATACTGTCTCTGGAAAGAAGCAATATGGCAGGGAATGGGACTCTTGGGTCTCAGATTTGCTGTCCTTTTTGCCTATATGCTAGATATTCTGTAGATGTTATTCCATAAGTTTTTCCTTTCCATATAAGAAGTCCAATATGTTTTCCTTCAAAATACCTTGTACTTTCTGTCTGGAAAATTCTAAAATTATTCTTTTACTCTTGGAATTCAGGATTGATATCACAATTACCTAATATAATGAGCCCTTCAATTTGCAAAATACTTTATTCATTAAGCTCAAGAGAATTTGTGTTTTCTTTTTATTTATTATGGCTCCTCTTCTTCTTTCAAGAACGCCTACGATTTATATATTAGATCTCTTGGATGAGTCCTTCAAAGCCATTATATTTTCTTCATACTTTCCACATCTCTATAATATTGTTCTCTTTTGAGATATTTCTTTCAAACCGTCTTCTAGACATTAATCTACCCTCACCAGTGACCATCTTCTGAATTTATCTCAAACGTCTTTTATTAAAATCTATGGGTTTTATTTATTTTTTTAATTATTTATTTATTTGACAGAGAGAGAGTGAGAGCAGGAACACAAGCAGGGCGAATGGGAGAGGGAGAAGCAGGCTTCCTGCAGAGCAGGGAGCCCAGTGCGGGGCTCGATCCCAGGACCGTGGGATCATGACCTGAGCCAAAGGCAGACACTTAACGACTGAGCCACTCAGGTGCTCCAAAATCTATGGGTTTTCGTACAAGGAAAGTTTTTGTGCTCTAATCAAATATACTTAAGTGTTTGTGTGTGTGTGTGTGTGTGTGTGTGTTTATTTCTTAAGTGTTCCTATATTTTTAGTAAGGGTGGGAAACGAAGAGTACAAACTATTGTCTGCTTCCTCCACCAGTTCTTTTCACTAGGGGCCATCTACTTTGGATGTTCTGCTTGTTTTTCTTCTCTAGGACTATCAGATTCTGTTACAAACATTGTTGTTTTTTCCTAAATACACCTTGGGGTTTGGGCCCAGCTGCCAGAGAACCATAAATAGAAACACTGTTCTAGGGGAAAAGTATGGTGAGCTCCTATTAAGTTGTCATTCTTCTGCTGATACATCAGGAGGTAGTCTCTTTCTCTGAGACAGCCTACCTTTTTAACTGTCTCACCTCTCCTTAAAGGACTGAAAAAACAATTCCTCCAAATAGTCACACAGGTGTTAGTACCCTTTATTTAATAGGCCCAAAGAGCCCTTGTACCCAGCTTTCTTCCTTAATCTCATCATTCCAATCCCCATTCAAGAACTCCATGCCACTAGTCCCCAGGTTCTCTCTAGTTCCGGGGCAGGGGTTGAGGGGGGTGGGTGCAGAAACCCCATGACATCATTGTTCACTAGATCCAGACAGAGCTGAGACCTCACATTCTCCAGATCCTACTTCATGTGGGTTTTTGAACTGGAAGTGGAAAGGAGACCACCAGGGTTGAATTTAAGCTGTTCTATTGCCACTAGCCATTTTCCCACAAAGGTTCTCATTCTACAGGTTCTCATTCTACAACCTGTAAATGGGATCCAGGGGGATCCATGATCCTCTGAAATTACCATCAAATTATGTTTATTTATGTATTTATCTATCTACACATATATATGTTTCTGTGGAGTTTTTCAGAAAGTTTTTTTTTAAAGAATCTACTTTGTTTAGAGCAGTTTTAGTTTCACAGCAAAATTAAGAGGAAGATACAGAGACTTCCCATATGGCCCCTGCCCCTGCACAGCCTCCCCCATTATCAACATCCCCCACATAAGTGGTACACTTGTTACACCTGATAAACCTACATGGACACATCATAATCACCCCAAGTCCATAGTTGACCTTAGGATTCACTCTTGGTGTTGTGCATTCCGTGGATGTGGACAAATGTATAATGACATATATCCACCATTATAGTATCAAACACAGTATTTTCACTGCCCTAAAGGTCCTCTGTGCTCTGCCTATTCATAACTCCCCACCCCCAACCCCTGACAATCACTGATCTTTTCATTGTCTCCATAGTTTTGCCTTTTCTACAATGTCACGTAGTTAGAATCATACGGGATGTGGCCTTTTCAGACAGTCTTCTTTAACTTAATAATACGCATATAAGTTTCCTCCATGTCTTTTCCTGGCTTGACAGCCCATTTCCTTTTGGTGCTGAGTAATATTCAATTGTCTAAAGGTACCACAGTTTATTTATCCATTCACCTACCAAAGGACGGATGCTTTGGTTGCTTCCAAGTTTGGGCAATTATGAATAAATCTTCTCTAAACATCTGTATGCAGGTTTTTGTATGATTAAAAGTTTTCAACTCCTTTAGGTAAATGCAGTGGAGCACAATTGATTACTTGATCACATGGTAAGAGTACGTTTAGTTTTTTAAGAAACCACAAAACTGTCTTCCATAGTGGCTGTACCATTTTAATTCCCACTAGCAATGAATGAGAGTACCTGTTGTTTCACATCCTCACCAGCATTTGGTGGTGTTAGTATTCCAGACTTTTACCATTCCTATATATGTGTAGTAGTATCTTACTATTGTTTTGATTTGCATGTCCCTGAAAATACATAATATTGAGCATCTTTTCATATGCTTATTTTCCATTTGTATATGTTCTTTGGTGAGGTGTCTTTGGCCCATTTTTTAATCAAGTTGTTTGTTTTCTTATTGCTGAGTTTTAAGTGCTCTTTGTATATTTTGGGTAACAGTCCTTTATCAAATATGTCTTTTACAAATATTTTTCACCCAGTCTTTGGCTTGTCTTCTCAGTCTCTTGAGTTCAGAAGTTTTTATCAGATTCTCAAAATGATGTTAAGAATCACACTTTTCTGGATCCATACCTGAATTTGGTACAAATCCCCAATAAGTCAATATGTCAATAAGATGTAGATCACTCTAACTCCAGTAAGTAAAGAGGGTCTTACAGCCTCTCTGACACCAGGAATTATTGTTAAAAGTAAATATTTTCTATTTCTATGTCTGCACTTGGAAGATTACCCTTTGAAGAAAAGGCAAGTTCTTGGACCTAGAAGGAAATGACTTAAAGAGAAATAAAATAAGATATATTGAAATGTACTACAGTAAATAATAACCTCCATAGGGTGGCAAAAGTAACAAATATAAAACAGTTGTGGGTTCAGTGAGTTCAGGAATAAGAATTCAAAAAAGAGCTTTTTGAAGAGAAGTTAGAGAATTTTAAAGTAATGAAGTTAAGACAGGTTTATTTCCCCTCAAAAAAAAAAAGCCTAAAATTTCTTACATTTCTGCAGTGATATGTTAATGGTGATCCTTTGGCACTTGGCACTCCACTTTTAAATTTTAAATATATTGGTTTTTTTTAATCTCTTTAAAAATATACTACTGACTTTAATCAAAAGTAGGTCAGCATAATGTTTACTACATTATCTTTGAAACACAAGCCCTAGTAATTCTAATGGAAAAAAAAAAAGATTTGATGCTTTTTTTATTTGAGGTGAATATAAATAGAAAATGAACTTAAAAATATCTTCTTTGTCTCTACCAGGTAGAAAGAGAAAAATATACCCTTCCATATGCCTTAAATGGTTTTTAGTTTTTAAAATATATCCATACATTGTTTTTATACAAGTTAGTCTTTTATATGACCATAGCCCAGCTAAACCACTGGCAAGTGGAGCAGAAGTGGAAAGGTTAGATCTTTCTAATGCAATCTACAATCCTCTACACAGTCCTCTTAAATTAACAAAAGCTCACCCTCATAAATATCAACCTATAAAAGTATTATCAAGAATTCATATAGTTCTTCTACACTTATTGCAGTGAGCAAGCATAATGTATAGAATTATTGATCACCCAAAACTAATGTAATATTGTATATGAACTATACTTCGATTTAAAAATTTAATTAAAAAATTCATATAGTTCTTAATTTTTCACCTATATATTAAGAGATGATAAAAATACATGAATGGAAGCTTGCCTAATTTTCTAAAAGAAATGTGTATTTCTTTTTTTAAATGTCTTGATCATATAATGGGTATGTACAAATTTGGTCTTTCACTATACTCCATCCTTTTACCCTTCCTGTTTCCCTTTTATTAAATATGTGCTCAATGATTATTACTTATCATTGTTAAATGATGCATAATAAAAATCTGTGCTCAGGTACTAAAATCCAACTATCCTATTATCTTTTTTTTTTTTTTTAATTTACTTCAGAGAGAAAATGCGTGCAAGCTGGGGGATGGGCAGAGGGAAAGAATCCCAAGCAGACACCCCACTCAGTGCGGGGCCAAATGTGGCGTTCTATCCCGACACTGAGATCATGACCTGAGCCAAAATCAAGAGTCAGGTGCTTAACCAACTGAGCCACCCCCAGGCACCTCTAGCTATCCAGTTATCTAGCCAAAGAGTTCCTATTAGTAGATGCAAAGAAAATAAATATAGAGCAGTGATAACAGGTATCACTGAATGATCAGAGTTTATGTCCACAAAGCCAGATGCATCCATCCTAGCACTGCAACCACAACCAACCCATCAGGAACAGTGCTCATCGTGAGACCTATAAGCCATCCTGATTTAAAGCATTGTCGTCTTACCACCACTTGCTGGGAATTTCCTCTCCAGCTCCCAGGCTGTCTTCAAAATGAATTTCTATACCAAAGGAACTCTGTTTAACTATGCTATATTTCTTGGTTTCAGATGGCTATACCACTGATGACATTGAGTTTTACTGGAATGGAGGAGAGGGAGCAGTAACTGGAGTTAATAAAATTGAGCTTCCTCAGTTTTCAATTGTCGACTACAAGATGGTGTCCAAGAAAGTGGAGTTCACAACTGGTGAGGACATTTCCCCAAAATGAACTAGGGGCACTGTGAAAGAAAGAAGATGATTCCTACCAAATAGAGATCTGATTTTTTTTTTCTTTTTTCTTTTTTCTTTTTTTAACTCAGGGGCATATCCACGACTGTCACTAAGTTTTCGTCTAAAGAGAAACATTGGTTACTTCATTTTGCAAACCTACATGCCTTCCACACTGATTACAATTTTGTCCTGGGTGTCTTTTTGGATCAACTATGATGCATCTGCAGCCAGAGTTGCACTAGGTAATGCATTCCCAGCACTGCAGAGAGCTAGTAGGACTTCACTTCAACCAACCAACCAACCAATGTTAGAAATTATAGGCACGGGCTTCTCTCAGAGCAAGTTAAAGATTGAGATTACCATAGCAGTCCTTGATAGTAAAGCATCTAAGTGTAAGCATTTTCAGGATGAATGTTTTACAATGCAATTTCTTTTTAGCATTTTACAAAAAAAAAAAAAAAAATGGAACATATTCAATACTAACTATATAAGTGCTTCTTAGAGTCTACTTTTAAATTCTCATTACACTAATTTTTACTAACTTTGTGATGATTTCCTCTTTGGTCCCTGCTTTTTACGGTGAAGAACCGTATCATTATTCTCAAAAGGATTTGGAAAAGCTAAACCTGTGACTATTAACAAGTTATGTCAATGGTTGGGCAATACTATCTTTCTTTTTTTTTTATTATGTTATGTTAATCACCATACATTACTTCATTAGTTTTTGATGTAGTGTTCCATGATTCATTGTTTGTATATAACACCCAGTGCTTCATGCAGTACATGCCCTCTTTAATACCCATCACCAAGCTAACCCATACCCCCCCTCCCCTCTAGAACCCTCAGTTTGTTTCTCAGAGTCCATAGTCTCTCATGGTTCGTTTCCCCCTCCAATTTCCCCCCCTTCATTTTTCCCTTCCTGCTATCTTCTTCTTTTTTTTTTTTTTTTAACATATAATGTATTATTTGTTTCAGAGGTACAGGTCTGTGATTCAACAGTCTTACACAATTCACAGCACTCATTATAGCACATACCCTCCCCAATGTCTATCACCCAGCCACCCCATCCCTCCCACCCCCCACCACTCCAGCAACCCTCAGTTTGTTTCCTGAGATTAAGAATTCCTCATATCAGTGAGGTCATATGATACATGTCTTTCTCTGAATGACTTAACTTCGCTCAGCATAATACCCTCCAGTTCCATCCACGTCATTGCAAATGGCAAGATTTCATTCCTTTTTGATGGCTGCATAATATTCCATTAAAGTTAGGGGCGCCTGGGTGGCTCAGTCATTAAGCATCTGCCTTCGGCTCAGGTCATGATCCCAGGGTCCTGGGATCGAGCCCCGCATCGGGCTCCCTGCTCGGCGGGAAGCCTGCTTCTCCCTCTCCCACTCCCCCGCTTGTGTTCCTGCTCTCACTAACTCTCTCTCTTTGTCAAATAAATAAATAAAATCTTTAAAAAAAAAAATTCCATTAAAGTTAAATCATATGGAACTGAGTTTCTCTTAAATGTGGCTCATCACACCTGAATAAGGCACAGACTTTCATCAGCTATATTAATGATCTGTGATCAGGATGGAATAAAAAATGGTTTCCTTCTTTAGGGAACAAAATTCAAAATTAATCTTGCCATAGTTGAGTAATTGCTGCAAGCTGAAAGGCTATATTTGAGACTTTAAAGGGTTCCTTGGAAAGTCAGAATACGAAAGGTCTGTTTGATGAATCTGAGCATGTGTGGGTCTGCCTCATTATTTGATCCTAGAGCCCTTTCAGTTATCACTTTTTGGGGCTTATTCTCATGCATGCGTGCTCATGAATGCAAGTGTGCACACACACACTCCAAATATATAACAGCATCATTTCCAGCGAAGCTGACATATACATCACTTCTTTTGAGATTGCTGAACTGGGTTAGATGCTCAGCATACCCTTTCATACCTAGACTAATTGTCATCCCTATAGCTTATTTCTAATGGCTCACAAAGTCAGCCCTTCTCAACCTTTGAACATTCCAAAACTAAGGAAAGCCAACAAATAGTTTATCACATCATAGGTATGATTCTGCACATATTATTTAACTACAAACATGAGTACGGGTATACTAGGGTTAAAGAAAAAACAGTGGATGATGTCCACAGCAGGGAATAATAACTATCAAGGTCATGAATTGTGGTTCTCTTTACATATCTATCCTCAAAGCTAATGATATTTTGATTAAAGATGTCAGCACATAAAAATGCTGATTTAATCTTTTCTTTGAAATGTAAAATAGGGGCTATTTTAAAACTTAACTAAGTAAAAAAGGCATTTATTTACTAACCTTTCTTGCCTAAAAATTTAAACCAAGGAGTAGAAACAGAAGTGTGATTAGTGGATTTGTAAATGAACTATTTCTACTAAGGATATTAGCTAGAATTATATTAGGTAAAATTTAAAATTTTATTGAAAGAAATAAGTAAGACCATTCATGATGGCATTTCATAACAGTGCAGCACATTTGAATTCATCACTGAGCTGAACCATTTTAACTTTCTGTATGGTAATCCTGACTTCCTATTTTATCTGTTCTCCTGAAAGTTAAATAGTCAAATCAGGGAATTTATCTAGAATAATCTGACGGGCAAATGAGTGCTAAACTCTTTTTTTCCCCTTTTCATTTTCTACCTCCCATTCTCTTTGCCAGCTCTCTTTTGTCTTTAACGTTCATTTTAACATTTCCTGTCTTTATTTTTAAGGACTCTCATCAAATTTCAGGTTTTATCTTCTCCTCTTTTTGCTTTTATTTTAAATGCCTTTGTTTAATACCTCCTTGCTTTTTTGCCCCTAGCTAGGTGATCTACAGCAAAATAGCTAATCTCAGAGTTTCTATTTATTCAGCTATACCTGCCCTATCATACTCAGCAAGCTGTTATGACAGCCATATAAGATAATGCATACTGTGTTTAAAACTGTAATATGTTATATAAATGTGTAATATTAGTATTGCAGCATGAATTATCTACATCAGGTTCCAACTTCCTTTTCACTTCTTGTTATTCTCAATTATATTTCATCACCACCGTCATCAACACCAAATATTTATTATGCAGCCATGCAAACATTATACGCTTAAGAAAGCTGTTTTTAACAAAGTAGACAAAACAGAATTTTCCTTTTGAAAGTGTATAGTCTTAACCTTCTTCACAAATCCAAGCTGAATTTTTCAGGAAGTCTTTTCTTGATTCCAGGGAACTAATTCATTCTTGACTCTCGAATCAAGAAGTAGAGGTAATATTTGAAAAACCAAAGCAACAAGATTATATCTAAAAATGACATAAATCAAGTGCTTGATGCAAATCATGAACTTCCTTACATATTTCTTCTTTTAGGATTGTCTCACTATGAATGATATATTATCAGTGTAATAATGTGTAATACTGACCTTGTGGCCTGGGTGTGTTCTAGATACATGGAATGAAGTAGCTCTCCTCAAACTGGTCACCAACTCTCAGTTTGGTAGTGGCTGTTGTGGGCATTAATATCACAAGAACAGATTTAGTAGGAAAATGAGGGAGATGCCGAGAGAAGGAAGATGTGGTATGTAACAGAACAAGGGACATTTTGATAATAGACTAAGCATATCAATAGGATTTTGATCTGCCGTTCCATTTACTTTTCTTTTTCCTATGTGCATTATTTTTAAAAAAATGTTTTCCAATCCTCCATTAATGGTACACCCTGTTTTATGATTTGTTCATGGACTGTATGGGGAGCCTGCAACTTTGTCTTTCCAAATGTCTACTCTTTTCGCCCAGTGGTTTATGACATTACTGACGTCATTCTGGGGCACCTATAAGGAAACGCATCTGTCTTCTCAGTCTTTAAAGGGCAGCTTAATAAGTGCATTCAGCTAAGATGTGTCTTTCTGTTTAATAGGAATCACCACCGTGCTGACAATGACAACCATCAGCACTCACCTCAGGGAGACCTTGCCAAAGATCCCTTATGTCAAAGCGATTGATATTTACCTGATGGGTTGCTTTGTGTTTGTGTTCCTGGCTCTGCTGGAATATGCCTTTGTAAATTACATCTTCTTTGGAAAAGGCCCTCAGAAAAAGGGAGCTAGCAAACAAGACCAGAGTGCCAATGAGAAGAACAAACTGGAGATGAATAAAGTTCAGGTAATGTATTAAATATCCCCAACAATATTCTTCCAAAATTTATCAGCAGCATGGTGCTCAAGGCTCCCATAACAGGAAAAAAAAAAAAGAAATTTATCTTCAATACGGCTCAAATACCACTCCCTTTTACATATTTGAGAACTGAGGATTGAAGAAGTTAGGTTGAAGTTAACATAGATTAATAACATACCTGGGCCTAAAACTCAACCCCAAGTCCATTATCCTTTATTGTAAACTATATAGTTTGTAAAACTCTATGCAGAAGGATAATGCCAGATTTGCTTGATAAATAAAGGAGAGAACTAAAGTGAATCAATTCTGTACTAAGTGGAAATAAAGAAATATGGCCCAGTGGTTACAACCACAGACTGGAATTAAACTGCTTGAGTTTTATTCCCAGCTCTGCTTCTTACTGACTTTATAACATCAGGCAAATCAACCTATGTGACTCCTCATGTTACCTCTGTTCTCAGGTCATCATCCATTAAATGGAGATTATTATAGTATACCTACCTCACAGAGTTGTTATAAGGACTAGATGAGTTTTTTTAAAGCCTAATATTTGTAACAATACCTGGAACATAGTGAGTGCTCATTATCACTATAGCTAGCTAGCTCTTATCATTATAGATAAGACATTGTCACTATTTTTCTTTCACTTTTCATTGGTAGATCTTATGACCTGTGCTTTTGCTGGATGGAATTAATTAAAATTAATGCCTTTTTTATTCTTTGAGAACATCTCTTTAGCCTCTACTTCTATGCCATGTTTCACTGAAATCAAATTAAAATTATGTACAGTGAAATACTGTATCTACTATAAATTGTTTTCAAGATGGCCCACAGGATGACAACTCAAATATTCACTCGTTTGGCCACTGCTCTGAGCATTGGGTATACTTCTCTGAAGGAGACAAATTTCCTGGCTCTCATAGAGTTTAGATTCTACTGTGGGAAGACAGGCAATAAACATGTAAACACATATTAAGAGGATAATTTCAAGTTGTAGTAAGTGCTATGAAGAAAGTAAAACAGAGCAATGGGTAAGTGAATCATTTGGATTAGATTCAAGGGAACAAGGAACAAAGAGCAGGTGATCAGGAAGACCTCTGTGAGATATTACCACTTGATCTGAGATCTAAGTGATGAGCAACAGTAACCATGCCATGACCATTTCAGGCAAAGGAAATGACAAGTGACAGAGACTCTGAGTAAGGAATTTCTTGATGTGGGAAAGTACCAAAAGAAGACTAGCGTAGCAAGGGCATAGCAAGTGAGGGAGGAAATGTAGTATGAGAGGTGGTTGGAGAATCAGGCAGAGCCAAACTATAAATCTTTAAGATGTATCTTCATGCTTTTTAGTGGGATACCAAAACTGGACAAACACTGTCAGGTAACTAGAAAATTATAGGCAAAATACCAAACAGATTCAACCAAATGGTCAAAATCTGAAGTAACTCATTCAAATAAATTTTTACTCTTATGTGAAATATTATGCTGGATTCTATGGGAGAAGGAGGAAGCATGATACTTGCCCTCAAGAATCTTCTGATCTTTCTGGGAAAGAAAATTATACTCATAGGAGGCAATTAGATTATAAAATGAAACAGGACAGCACCTACCTTGAGGAGCATATCTGAAAGGAAAAGGCTTCCCGTTGTCTGATTGTAACCATACCAGACTTAAAAGTATGTTGAGCAGAAGATTTGAAGACTCCTCATTTCTGCTCCCATTCCTAGCTCAGTTGCCTTCTAAACCAAAGCTGATCCTCTGCATGGCTTGGAATGTGTGTTAATTGATATATCATGGAGGAAAGGCCTACATCAATAAGGTTCACTGGTAGGAAAATCCAAAGATATGAACTGGATGGGCACTCAAGACAAGGAGAATTTGGAAGGTAACAAGGAGAAAAGAGGGTCTTCCAATCAGCTAGGAAAGCAATGTTCTCTAGAAAGGTGATTAAATGGAAAGCGCAAGCAAACTGAAATCAATTCCTTCAGATCATTTAAAAAGAGCATAAAACAAACTTTAACTAAACTCTTTGGCTATTGCCTTGATTCTACCCCAGGATATTAAAGAACTTTTCTAAGGTGCTATGGGACAAATAAAGGCAAAAGGAAAGCCTTGTGTGTCATATGATACCTAGATGTATAATATATATTGCTCTGAAGAAGACTTAGTGACTGGAAAATAAATGAGTAAAATGTGTCTGTCTAACTGATCTTTACTTCATAAGCAGTCTGTTTGAGTAACACTGGGCTCAAACATAATAAGATTTCACTGGATCTCAAATCAGGAAACTTTTAGTCCAGGCGAACTGGTATTTTAAATTTTAATCCCAGTAGAAAGCATAGAAAAATCCAACAACTGTCAGGAGATGAAACACTTAAAGAAGATAAAAATGCGTTTTTATCCATGGAAAGCTAGACTAAAAACTCCACAAATGCTTTTCACAGAAACACAAATAGACAAAATTATGCCAAAGTTAATAAACAAATCATGTTAAGATATGAAAAAGTAGTATATATTATCCTAACCCTCCTGTGGATTAAAAATTATAAACCTTGAGCAAAAATTTATTAAAATCTGCTTGAAGAGATAAGAGAGTAACTGAAAAGAAGCAAAAACTAAAAGAGAATCAACCCTCAAAGGAAGGGAATGACACTGTGTGAAATCTCTATTTATACATCTTTGCCCTGAGGCCTCTCCCCAGTCTGGGGGATGTGGGACAGCAGAACTTCAGAAACAAAACAAAGCAAAACAAAAATACAAAAAATTACAGTTTTATTGGTCTGATGAGTCAGAACACGGAGTTTGATACTTCCAGAGTTCTTAAAAATCTTGGAAAGAAGTGAGCCACAAGAGAAATTCAGAATCTGAATATAAACTTCCCACAAATCCGTGGTTGATCCCTGAACTACAAATGTACAAAACACTAAGAAGTCTGGAAAGGAAAAATAGCTGGAAGGCTGAAAAAGAACAAAAATAAGAGATTCTCTTTGAGTTGAGAAAAAACTAAAATAGACTCACCCTAACTACACATAAAACCAAGTCACTACACATTCCAGGTGACCTATTAGTAATTTAACTGCCCATTAAAACAAAACCCAACATTTGTCAGGGAAAATAACAGAATCTAGAATCTCTATAGTGCATCTTCAACATAGTTAATATGTAATGAAAAATTACTAGGTGTGAGAAAAAAACAGGAAAACATGCTCAAGAGAAAAAAATTAGTCATTAGAAACAGAATTTCAAAGTCTCAATGTCGGCTTAAAAGATAAGGACCACAATTAATAATAATAACTATAATTAATATATTTAAAAATTCATAGGAAATAGCCAAAAACTGAAAATAACTGAAATATCCTTTGATAGGCAAATGGTTAAACAAACTGTAGTATATTCATAATATGGAAGACTAGCTCAATAAAAAGTACTATTGATACATACAACAACTTGAATGGATCTCAAGGCCATTATGCTGAGTGAAAAAAAAAAAGCCCATCATAAAATATTACACACTGTATGATTCTATTTACATAATGTGCCTGAAATAACAAAATTATAGTGATTGAAGAACAGATTAGTTATTGCCAGGAGTTGGTGATGGAGGGGAGGATTGAGTGTGATTGATTATAGCACACGGCAGATCTTTGCAGTGATGGAGTAGTTTCTGTATCTTGCAGTGGTGGTTATGTGAATCTTCACATGTAATAGAATTACATAGAACTAGACACACTTTATACCAATATCCGTTTCCTAGGTAATATTGTACAATAGTTAAATAAGATGTAGTCAATGAGAGAAACTGGGTGAAGGGTATATTGGACATTTTTGTGCTATCTTTGCAACTTTCTAGTAATCTACAATAATTTCTTTTTTTTTTTTTAAGATTTTATTTATTTATTTGACAGAGAGAGAGACAGCGAGAGAGGGAACACAAGCAGGGGGAGTGCGAGAGGAAGAAGCAGCTTCCTGCCAAGCAGGGAGCCCGATGTGGGGCTTGATCCCAGGACCCTGGGACCATAACCCAAGCCGAAGACAGACGCTTAATGACTGAGCCACTCAGACACCCCGGAAACTACAATAATTTCAAAATAAAAAGTTTAAAATAAAGTCCATAGGAAGAGATTAATATAATATATGAAGAGATGCAGAGTTTCAGAAAAAGATTTGAAACTATGGAAAAGAACCAATGGAAATCATAGAATTGAAAAATGCATTAGATGGATTAGCATCAGATTTTATACAACAGAAGAAAGGATTAAAAAACAAGAAGAATAGGGCGCCTGGGTAGCTCAGTGTGTTAAGCGTCTGACTCTTGATTTTGGCTCAGGTCATGATCTCAGGGTCATGAGAGCAAGTCCCATGCTGGGCTCTGCGCTGAGCATGGAACCTTCTTAAGATTTTCTCTCTCTCCCTCTGTCCCTACGCCCCCCACGCGTGCATACTCTCTCTCTCTCTCTCTAAAAAAAAAAAAGAAGAAGAAGAAAGGATTAGTGGAATTAAAGGTACTGTTGACCATCTCTCAAGTTTTTCATTGCACTAGTTCTTGTCATAAATGTTACTACCTCAAGGATGCCTTAGCTGACCACCCACCCCCCCGCCACTGTTAGTTTATATTTTGTACCATTGTTCTTTGCCCTCACCACATCCTGTGCTTTTCCACCATAGGATTTACCACAGTAGTGAATACATGTTTACTTAATTATTTTTTAATGTCTATCTCTCTATTAAACTGCAAGTTTCCCAAGGATTAGCATCGAGGTCCTTGTCTATTATGTTTGTTGCTCTTTACTCAGTGGCTAGAACAGAGAAAAAAACAAATAAATATTTGTTGAATGAATAAGTTCTAGAGAACCCTTCTCCACTCAGGATGAGTTCTTAGATACCACCCAAGTTACTGAATGTTACATTGTAATGTTTTATAAAACCCACCCAAGTTACTGAATGTTACATCATAATGTTTTATAAAACCCTTACATATTCATAATAAG